TCTCTCTCTCTCTCTCTCTCACACACACACACACTCACACACTCACACACTCTCACTCTCTCCGTGGAAACTGAAAATTTACGTGTTTTGTTCCTTTAACGCTTTTCAATAAAATTCACTCAGAAGTGTGTTTCTTAATAAGAATGAAAGGTGTTTAGCAAAAAAATGAAAATTCGATAAAAATCCAAAAATCTGCAGAAAAATGCCAGTTTCTTCACTTTTATTATTTTGATAAGCACCTGATTTCACTACACTGCCTCACAACGTTAATTAGTGCCCGCTCGTGTGTTTGTATATTCGTGAGTACGAGTATACGTGAATGCTATGTTTCCCTGCGTGGCTGTTTGCATGAACATGTGCATGTTTTATTTTGTGTAAGTGAATATGCGTGTGCAGGCAGGTGCCCCCGAGTGTGCTTGTGTGTGTGTGTGTGTGTGTGTGTGAGAGAGAGTGTGTGTGTGTGTGTGTGTGTGTGTGTGTGTGTATGTGTGTGTGAGTGCATGCGTGTGTGTGCCCGTGTGTGCGCCCAGTGTGTGCGTATGTGTGTGTGTATGTGTCCTGAAAAACACCAGTTCCTGTAAACACAACATTTCTTTATCCTTCCCCCAGACATCTACCAGAACTCTAAGAACCTCAGCTCCCTACAAATAAAGGAAAAGAAATCTGGAGCGTTCGCCCCTGCTGATCGAAGCGTCCTGAACCCAGGGACTCTGAGCTGGCCTGTCGCAGGGGATAACGGAAACCTGTTGAGCGGAGACTGATCGGGGATTTCTGAGGAATTGTGGGAACAGAAACTGGTTCAAGGTCAATACGCTCTCGCATGAGCACTGTGTCTCGTGTCTGGGGCGATGGGTTAAAAAACGTTTTGTTTAAACTCTAAAAACAAACAAACGAATGAAAACATAAAAGAAACAAAACAAAACCATCAACCCTACAAAAATAAACAAACAACCAAAGAAAAATTAAAAACCTCTAACAAACCACTACATTTAGGTTGAAGACATAAAACGTGCAGCTATTTTGCTACAAACGAGGTTCTTCTGACCAGTTCCAAAAGACATTTAGAACTGTTGTTTAATTAAATAATTTAAACAAACTGTGAACAGTTTGGATTTTCCAAGTGACAGGGAAACTCTAAGTTAATCTCTTAAGAACTTTCAATTCTTCTCTTGTGCCTGCCTAGAATTCTGGAAGAAACAACACTGAAGTTTCAAATTCTGCCTTCAGGGGTAGAGTTTTGTCCTGGCAAATGTGATATAATATAAGTGATGCTTTCATGTTTTACGAAACCTAACCTAGTTTCTTTGCTGACAAGGAGGACAGAAGTTTGTCGATTCTGATTTTTCGACAATAAAAAAGGACGCGTCAAAACAAGAGATACACAAACGTCTCAAACATTCATCACTTCCGTATGTGAAGAGAGCAGGGTAGTTTTTCCCCCGATAAATCGCCTTGTACTTGCAATCCCAGCTTACTGCTGTTCAGGTATTCTTCACTCGCCAGTACGCCAGTTAATTCATTTTGAAATTTTAAGAAGACCAGAAAACATTGACCATTTCACTCGTCTGTATTTGCGTGTGTGCGTGTTCCCAGAAACGGATTTCACAGCCATTTGAGAAATTTATCGTTTTCTCAGAAGACGAGAACGACAGAGCTGTACCACGAATATGCAGCTTAATCTGGTGTTTGTGTTTCCTGTATTGGCTTCCCTTTTTTCGAGGATGGTGCACGGTGAGTATTTTATAGGTTAGACTTCACTAGTAAACACACCCATACACACATACACACACACACACACACACACACACT